TAATTGTTTTCAGCTCTGAAACGCAATCAAAACCGCGCTTGGGGGCCTAAATTCATGCTGACACTGTCCTTCCTTCTGGAGGGTGGCTACTTTTGTTCCCCCATGGTCCCTGTGTGTGCTGTAAAGTAACCACAGCTCCAAGCTGGCTCCTGAGATGAATTACAATCCCAATACAAGTTAGTAAACTAAACCTGAGATTGTACTCCATCATGGGAACGAGCTAGCAGCAGTGACTACTTAACATGCACAGGGACCAAAATTAGCCACCGTCCAGAAGGATGGACAGTGTCAGCACCAATTAGGAGATGATTTGAGGATCTACAGCTGAGTGATACACAAATAAGATACATTTTTGTTAATAATTAAAAAAGGTACTTGAATGGATTTTTAAGATTTATTTCCTGAGTTCAGTGTCACTTTAAAGAGATTTTCTCTAGAACCCCACCAGGCACCACAATCTTTAACCAGTTTGACAGCCATCTGCATTAGTCTGTAAAAGGTTTCTTCAGGGCACGGCGGATGTCAGCAAAGGTTTGCATATTAACAGAGCAAAACTAGTTGTATGTGCTTTTGCTGTGGTGAAGTGCGGACCTTCCGCTAACATGCAGTACACGCTGCAGTAACATCCATTCATCACAGAGACGAGCAGTGGTCTGAACACCAACACTGACAGCTGTCAAAATCAGCGGAATAGTGTCGGTGTGAAAATCTAAAGTATGGGTAAGTAACCTTTGTTTGGCTGTTCCTATGCTCAGCTCGATGTGTCTAAGTGCTAGGTAAAAATGGTTACATTACACATTAACCTGCACAAAAACTCTGCATAAACATGAAGGTTCTGTATTCCTCGTAGTGCCCATTTTTTAAGGCCTTTGACCAGTCCACATAAGTCTCTAAAAAAAAAACCATCAGATTAAAATAACCTATAATGTGCTTCTGACTCACAGATTATAACACAGCATGTACAGCCAATGATCTGAATTAGATTACTGAAGGATCTCATTGTTTGGTGACATCTTAGGCATTAGGAAATGAGGAAGTGAAAAACATGACTTGTCAGATGGGCAGAGATATATGCTGGGAGGGTTATAACATGGAAGCATTCATACATTTCACATATAACCAACCAGAAATGCAAGTTCCAGCAATGCTGCAGAGAGGCACGGAGTGAAGGCTTTTTACTTTGCTAGCCAAAATCATCCTCAAACACTAAGACCCCATTCACACTGAGCGCTTTGTCACGCAATTTCAGCCCCAAAATCGAGCATATTTCCGCTCAATGTAGCTTGTTCAATGCATTTCAATGGAGCTGTTCACATCTCACAGCTCAATGTCGCCTTTAGCTGGTCGCTCAAGCTTGTAGCTCGAACATGACCTACTTTTCAGCGGATGTTGCGCGATTTGGCCCCAATAGACTCAATAGTGTCACTCAATGTCGCGCATTACCGGTGATATTGCACAACCTTGCCAGAAGTGTCACTTTTGCACAGCAATATCGAAGGAAGGCATGATGTAACATCAAGACCGCTTTTGATTGGTTACAGCCCAATGTAGCAGCCACGAAGTCCCTCCCAAAAGTCGTGCAACGTAGCGCGACAAAATGTGCACTGTCGCTCAATGTGGCTGAATGTAGCTCAATGCCGCTCAGCTCGGAATTGCGCGATTTCTCATGTCGCTCAGTGTGAATGGGGTCCAAGGCTAGGTTTACACCTAACCACTGAACTGCATGGCAGTAATGCATGTGCGTTAGTTAATGTGTGGCGAGCTGGGCAGATCATTTAAAAAGAATGGACTGGCAACACAACAGCTTAGAAATTGGACCTTCCCCTTTTTGGCAGAGCACTGCGCGTTATACTGCGGGGCAGCACACCTTTGTTGGCAAGGTGTGTTGGGGTGCCATTCAGAATGAATGGCATTGCATCGCAAGTAGTATGTGATGCACCCAATGCAATAATGTGAACATAGCTTGAGTATCTGTTCACACTTCTGTGTCTGCTGTTTCATGTGTTCTAGCCCCTGATCACACATCTGCGATGTGTTATCACAGGGGTGGTGTAGAGTCCGTTGTGAAAGCCAAATCCCAATGAAGTGCTTGCAAATTTATTTTAAAATCACATTGCACCACAAGGCATGGAAATAAGTTACAATGCGATGTGGTGTGATGCAATGCACATGCCATTGCTAGGTGTGTTGAGATGCCATTAAGAAATAATGGCAGTGCAGCACATCTAACATCGCAACATACATTCTAACGGATGGTGTGCGGCATTGCACATGCTCCCACATTACAAGGGGGTGAATGAGGGCTTTTTTCATCGCAGGTTTTTTATGTGTTATGCATTTTTCCTTTGGCCAATGAGGGCGAAACAAAGTTTAGGTTACTAGAAGATGGGGGCTAAAACGCACAAAAATGCACATTACCTGTGTTTTTCATGCTCCCTTTGAAGTCTATTGGGATTAATATACACTACATGGCGCCTACGCCATTTTTCAAGGTAGCATATGTCCCCTCGAACTCCAGACCGGAATCCCAATCTAACCATGGGTGTTGAAATGACCTGCGGCATGTGCTGCGTGTACAAAGCATCAGGAAATTAGTCACCAGCACAAGGTAGGTCCAGTTTATCGTCCCGTCTTTATTCCATTTGACGTTAAGATATTTTGGATGTGTGATACCGTGCCTATTAGAGTTATTCACAAAAGGGTGAAGAGTTTGGAGAAAGCAGGAGAAGTGAACAATCTAGGACAACATAGCAGAACTGGGAAGTGAGCTGAATTGTTTCACTATCAGTTATGTTGTCCTAGAGCAGGGGTGCCCATTAGGTAGATGGTGATCTACCAGTAGCTCTCAAAGCTGATGCTGGTAGATCACGAAGGGTGTGAATGTTGGCCCCTTTATTTCATTTTGGTATATTTATTTAGCTGTGCACACATGATTACCTATTAGCCTGACTCTGCTGAGCCAAACTCCCTGACACCTTTCTGGTGGATTCTGGAGGTTGAAGTGCTATGTATTACATCAAAGAATATTAGTTTACACAGCCTGTTGCACTACACTGTTTGCAAAATACAGCAAGGTGAGCCAGGAGAGAGAGCGCATGGAGAGACAGCAAGGAGGATGAGCAAGGAGGATGAGCAAGGAGAGCGGAGACAGCCAGGAGAGAAAACGAGGAATGACAGCCAGGAGAGAGAGCCAGGAGAGAGAGCCAGGAGAGACAGCCAGGAGAGAGAGCCAGGAGAGAGAGGAGAGACAGCCAGGAGCGACAGCCAGGAGAGAGAGGAGCGACAGCCAGGAGAGAGAGGAGCGACAGCCAGGAGAGAGAGGAGCGACAGCCAGGAGAGAGAGGAGAGACAGCAAAAGAGAGCGAGGGAGGTTTTTTTTCGTTGGTAGACCTCATGTAGCTCGTCATTTGAAAAGTAGATCTTAACACAAAAAATTGTGGGCACCCCTGTCCTAGATTGTTCACTTCTCCTGCCTTCTCCAAACTCTTCACCCTTTTGTGAATAACCCTGCAAGTGTTTGCATATGTGAAATACAGACATCCCAACTCTCCAGGGGGGGGCGTAGAGGGCACCTCCCTGAAATGAGAAGGACACCTCCCTGAAATGGCTTCTTTCAGGTTGGGATCCCTGGAAATATCGTCTATCTTAATGTCAAATAGAATAAAGACGGGACGATAAACTTGGACCTTTGGTGTGCTGGTGACCTATTTCCTGATACTTTGCACCATTTTCCAAGTCACGCTGCATAGGTGTTTATGCACAGCACTACGCAGAGGAGCCTTGGCGCAGCTTTCACATATTCTGCAGAAGACGTGTATCTAAAACCTCTGTTTTTAACCTTTGTGTGAGACAGGTTTTTTTGCATGCTGGCTGGTGAGTATGCTGGGAAACTTTTTGCTGTTGTACTGTATAAAGCCCTTCCATGTGCCTTGCTTGAAAGCCGGTTATGCGTTGATGAGTACGTTTGCCATTCATTTTGCAAAGACGTTTACAGACCCCATAGAAAATAATGTACTTCATCTTGTGCATTGTCACGTGATGGCCGAGAGCATTTCATATCACACAAGTGTCAACGGGGACTTAAGCTGGCCATACACTGCTTGAAGTTTGAGGCAATTCCTGCTGACTCAGCCCATATTTGAGCATGACGGCACCACTGCGTTCGACAAAGTAACAATTTCTGAATGGACTTTTGTCAAAGGAGCAGGGTTAAAAATGACTGGCTGAACAGTGAGTGCAGCCAATCAGCTGCTGTCACTGTTGGCGTATTTTGACAGCTCCAGGCCCTGGCTGTCAGAATCCGGCAGGGGAGTTCCCCCTATCTACACTGTTTAGCATGCATGGGGGAATATGCTGAGTGTATGGCAAGCTTTGATCGTGTGGCTCTTTTCACAGACTGAATGGGTAGTGTTCCATGCATGAGCGAGACACTAAATGACAGTGCACATGAATTGCAGGGTAGAGGAAGGCAGGATTCCAGATAAATTACAGCAGGGCTTTGTACATATCAACCAATCACAATGGCTTCATATAGAAAATCTTAATAACATCTGCAGATTACAAATCCTCCCCCCAGGCCTGATTTTAGTGTTCCATATAGTGCTTGCTTCCATGTAACTGAGCCAATCCGCCTGGATGCAAACAGGCCACTTGGATGATTGCTACTGTCTCCATCCCTGCATAGAATTACAGGTGATGCCACATCATCCATTCATTAGACAGGGAAGAGGCAGGGCAGCCTCCACAGCTGTGACAACTTTCATTTCTACGAGCAGGAGGTGAACAGTTCAGCCTGTTTATTTAGGGGGGACACATGAACCCCAATTTTGCCACCTGCTGTCATTTTCCATAAGCAAATGATAACGTGCCCCTCCCTCTCACCGAGATCTGACACCCTCTTCCCCTGCGGCGACCCATCCCATCTACCTGCTCTATCCGACCCCCCCTTTACTTTCCAAGCGCCGGCATTTATCCGCCTCCCTCATTTACCGGTTCCTCACCTCATCCTCTTTGTGGTTCCGGATCCCTCTAACCAGGTCTTGCAGATTCTTATCGAACATGCGATCAATGCTGCCTTTCACCATACGGAGCGCCATGGCTGCAAACCGGGTAGGGCCCCGCTGGACTCGCCTGTCACCGGACACGGACACACAAAATGGCTGCCACTCAGCTGACTACTTTCCCCGCCCACCGAGCCACGTGACTGACAGCACAAGAGGCGGGCTGGGAGGGGGGCTGAACGGTCTTCCGTATCGCCCCCACCTTAGGCACGGTGTGAGGGGTTAAGATGGTTTCAGGAAGGGAAGTTACCTCAGGAGCTGAGAGTTGTCAGACCGCTGTATATGGTGGACGAGAGGAATATGGGCGAACGTATTGTGTAGAAGGAGAATAGAACAGACCTGGCATGAGGGAAATACGTGGCTTGCAGTTAGCGACGTTCTTAGGAAGATACTGGTATCATGGAAGTGATGAGCGAAATTGGATATGCTGAATATTCGCCAATTGAAAAATAAAATCTACAAAACCCTTAAAGTGACACTAAACTCAGAGTTAAATCTTAAAAATGCATTACCCTAAGGTTCACACCTGAGTGTTTTTGTGGGCGGATCTAATCGTGTGAAAACGTGCAAAAAACATTTCAATGTAAGTTAAGGGTGACTGTTCACATCTTAGCGTTGCGTCATCCATAGGGAAATACCTGTTGTGCAAAAAGATGCAGGAGCTATTTTCAGGCGGATGTTGCGCGGTTTTGGTCCTAATAGTAATTTCTCTATGCAGGGTGAAACGCGCGTTTTTAAATGCAAAAACACGTGAAACTGAAAACGCCTAGGTGTTAACTTAGCCTAACTATTAACACAAATATATCTTATTTGTGTATCATTCAGCTGTAGATCCTAAAATCATCTCTGAATTGGTGCTGACAATGTCCTTCCTTCTCGAGGGTGGCTACTTTTGTAAAACAAATCCCTTGCTTCTTCTATTATTGTATTCTGACAGCTCTCCGCCCAGCCACTGCAACTGCCATGCAAATAGGTGCAGCTGCCATGGACTTACACTGTGGGTGGATGAATAGATGCTGATAGGACTAAGGTACTAGTTGCTTATTAGGTCAGCTTTACTGCTGATTTGTAGTGGGTGGAATCCATAGCCAACAGCTGGGTGGCTCTTGGCTATAGAATCTGCAAACTGCCTGCTGACAATCGGTAGCACAGCGGACTTGATGGGGAGCTAGTATCTCAGCATTGCCATCGGGCTCTGCACACTTGTAGCCTCACTGGTTGTTAAGTACCCTGTTGGCTAAGGATATCATTATTCAAGCACACGGCCTGAAAATGGGGGAGCAACAAGCCCCAATGCCCACGCCATAAAACATACAGGGCCTCATGCCCTGCAGAAGAGATCAAAAATAGTGTGGGGTCCTTCTCAAATTCTATACTTTCATCCAATCCATTCCTATCCTAAATAGGGGTCTGGTATGAATTTTTGAGGGAGACCCCACACCATTTTGTTTCCATGGGATCCTTATACAGGCATGCAGCCTGGCTGACATTTTTTATTTTTAGAACTAGCTAGATTTATAGGGAGAAGTAGCATTCCAATCTGCTATTATTTGAATCATAACAGTTAGCAAATACTTTTTTTTAAATGTATTTTATGTATTTTCTGCAGCAGCAAAACAGAAAATTGTTTTATATATACCGCAGAGCTTCTTTATTCCCTCTGGAGGAGGTAAACCTTCCTTCAACCAGGCTGACTGTAATGCTTTGACAACCCATGAGAATACTATTCTCAAGGATGCTTGGCAGCCCTCTGGGTCCTTTGGCAGAATTAAGAGATTCTCCACTCACCAGAACTGTTGTGTCCTGCTTAGGTAAGTTTGCAACAGATTAAGTCCAACTTCCTCCAACACAGTTCTTCTGATCCTACCACTGAAGGTGGGATAACTGGAAGAGAAGACTCCGAGAGCACCTTAGGCAAGAACTCTGGGGAAGTTTTCAAAACTACTCTATCAAGAAGAAAGAATAGGGCAACACACAAGAAATCACTCAAGTCTGAAGCCCTATACTATAGCAGGAAAAAAAGCTGCTTCACTCTTTAGACTGAGGTGCCATAGGAAGCACTTAGAATACAGGGAAAAAAGAAGATCGATCAACCTTATTAAGACAAGCTTCAAATCCCATTTAGGAAAAACATCATGATCGGAGCACGAATCTGGATAGCTGCCTTCAGGAAACAAACTATGAGAGATTCCCTTGCCCACTGGTGTCCAGCAAGTACAGACAGCTGAGATTTGCACCTTGATAGTGTTATAACTCAAAACCTGTCTGACGAACACTAAGCACCTCTGATATAGAAGGAGACTGGTAGTCAAAATAATACAATACCGCAAAGGATTTCAGTTTTCTCCCAATGTGATGGTTCGCGACCACCCGGGAGCAGAGGTTTAGTTCTTGGAGCCTGCTCCTTTCAAGGTCCATGCAGTTAATAGGTGACCCACATTTGGATGGAAATTACCTCCCTGCAGCAGCAGGTTGCGAGTAGATAGGAGACTTATTCATTTGAAAATTGCCAGTTTGCAATACGATTAGATCAGCCTACAGATTAAACATTCATTTGCAGAGAGTGTGTACACTTCAAAAGGGCTTCAATTCAACCTTAGTTATTGCCATTACCAAGGTTGCAATAACATTCATTACCAGAACACTGATAACCAGATACCTGCTATTGAGACCTATCATATCTCCCATCACAACATGTTTATCCAGGTCTGGATTATAAACCTCTTAATGGCCATCATATAAGCACTTAGCGGAGTCTGGCAAGCCAGAACACTAAAATCTCATTAACTGACAGGCATTAAATCTTACATGGAGCCTAAAGCTGGCCATACATTATGCAAATTACAGGGGGCGTTCCAGAAACTGGCTGAAATTTACATGGTGGGAGCCACTGTCAGCACCTTTCCAGCAGGCATTCTTTGATCAGCTTATTAAAGGAGAACTATGGGGTTAAGGCTTTTCCCCATAGTTCTCCTTAGGGTAATGGGAGGACAAAAACTAGCGTCCTCCCATCACCCTAGGCTCAGTATACCGCGAGCTGTATACTGAAGGCCGTGACACACTGCACGCGGAGCGGGGGCGCGCTGCCTTTGCGAGCAGTGTGTCATGTAATTTTCTGCTCGGCAGCTCAGCTTGCTAGAGCTCGCGGAGCTGGGCGTGCCGAGATGAACAATTTCAACTTCAGCCAATCGGCTCGGGCGTATAAACCAGCGTGTCACGATGCGACAGCTGGCAGGTTGTTACGGACGAGCCGATTGGCTGAAGGTGCTGTCAATCATCTGACTGCACTCAGCTCACACACTGCACGCAAAGCTCCGTGCCGGATAGCTTTGCTTCGCTCTGCACGGCTTCGTGTGCAGGGTGTCACGGCCTTGAGACGCCACAGTATACCGCGAGCTGCTGCTTGCGGTATACTGAAACGCTGAAGCGGATCCCGACAATTGTGCCCGGATCCGCCCAGCTGCGTGACTGACAGCTGGCTCTGCCTATCTAGAGGCAGAGCCAGCTGTACCCGCCCCGTCTGTTCCGCCAGTCAGCGGAAGAGCCGGCAGAGAGCCGTGACATGATCGAGAGGTGAGCGATAGCCGCTATGTGTTCGCTCACCTCCCAATCTACTGAGCCGACCTGTGACAGTCTCATTGTCACAGGTCGGCTAGAACTATGAGGTGAGTGAAAAGCACTCACCTCATAGTTCTCCTTTAAAGGAGGCAGTTGGAAAATCTCCAAATGAAAAGAGCTGGCAGCCAATCAGCTGCTGGCTCTGGGTATTCTGACAGCAACTAACGTTAAAAAAAATACAAAGTAAACAGCAGGGAATCTCTCGATCAATGCTCATAAGCGTTGATGGAGGAATCTGTCCTATTTTTTTCGTTCAGCCTGCAGTGTATGTGTATGACCAGCTTAACTGCAGTCGTAATGCTACCGTGTTTCACCGAAAATAAGACACTGTCTTATATTTTTTTTGGCTCAAAAAAACACACTAGGTCTTATTTTCGGGGGCGGTCTTATTTTCTTTTTTAAATGTACAACAATCCACACTTATTCATGTACAACAGTCTACATGTATTCATGTACAAACATATGGTGATCAGGGCAATCAGGGGTGCCGTACCTTTCCAAGAGCAATTTGCTAACCATTTGCTGGCCAGAATGAGCGAAGCGCACTTTCACTATGGATTCCTCACAGGATGAGTGCATTTGGTATCACTCCACCTGTGACAGGAGGCGGCGCTATAGAGGAAGCAACGGCTTATGCGGCTCTGCTCCCTCCGGTGCCGCCTCGCTTCCTCTGGCGCTGGCTTCATTGGCACCGTTGAGTCTCTACTGCCTCTCCCGCTGGTCTTCAAGTTCCCCCTTATGCCACCACCGGCCCTGGGAATGGTCACAACTAGGTCTTATTTTCGGGGTAAGTCTTATATTTTAGCAATTCCCAAAAATAGTACTAGGTCTTATTTTCGGGTTAGGTCTTATTTTAAGGGAAACAGGGTATTCAGGAACAATCCACATGAATAGTTTGGACTCAGATGACCTATAAATGCCCTGTTAACTGTAATGGTTCCCGGCGACGTTGCCGTTCCGAGTCATGGACTTGAGCAGTAGTTCCGCCCCCGGGCCGATGACGTCAGACGGGACCCGCCCCGTCCTCATCATAAGCCGCGACTGTGCAACTGTCTGGCGTTCCAACAACCCCATACGGACGCCAGACGAGTGCCGGTCTCCCTGCAGTCAGCATCACCAGCTACAGCATCTGACAGGAGGACTCCACATCACCCACCTGATCCTTGCAGACCAGCTGACAACTTCCATAGGGTTCTGCGCTAGTGTACCAAGGACCACTCATACCCACACACCAGGACACCTAAACGCAAGTATTCCCCTCTGGGTTGCTACCCACAGGGGATTAGCTCACTGCTATAAACTACCTGGATTGTGCATAAGACTTATGAGATGTGAGCCCTCTGCTGGCAACTAACAATATTGCATATAGGGTTGGGTCTATACTGACACTGAAACGTTTCTTACATCTGAGCTAATGGACTGTGATTCTCATTATTAAGTATATGTGAAGTGAACATATATCTAAATACTATACTATATATGACGGACTGTGGCACTGAAGTACTGGGTATGTGGAGTGAACATAATTACCAGTAATTA